TAAGAATAAGGGTTAGATTATTTCCTTTTAACATACATAAAAGAAAGAAGGTTGCCGTGTTACGTTTCTTTCTAAATGTCATAGACTTTTTATATTTTGTGTAATAATTTTTTTTTCTCAAATGTTAAGGATCAACCTACAAAATTCCATCACCATTAACCATCGGGACAAGAAGTTTAATTTCTCATTCTTATAATGTTTAATTCCATCCAATAAACCAATATAAATTAACATATTAACATATAGAAAGTTGAATTTAAATACAACCAAGTTTTCTGAACTTCACATAAACTTCATCCATTTACTAGAAATCTGATTGGTCATTTATTTCCATCTAATGATTTCATTCATTTATTAGAAATCAGAAACATCATGACCGGTCATTCATTTCCGCTGATATTTGATAACTGACAAATAAATAAACACGAGGACAAAAGATTTTTTTCTTTAGTTAGGAAAAAAAAGCCCAGTTGATTTTTTTAGGAATCTAATTTCGTAAATAACTTTTGATTCACATGAGGGTTCTTCTTTCAAAGAATCTTTTATTAAATTTATTAAATTCACAAACAATTTCCTTTTGCATGTGTAATTCTTTGCTCAACGCAACGAATAGAATAAAAATAAAAATATTGGTTAATAATAATAGAAGTGGCTAATGTTGATGCTCCGAACGAATAAATAGGTACCCCGCATTTGAATATAACGTGTAAACCCAAATCATATATAGAATGTCATTTCGGAAATACATGCCTCTCAAATCCAATGTAAAAAGAAAAACTACTGATTTTTTGGTCCACGAGTGGGTAACAGGTCTATTTATATGTTTTTGTTGTTGTAATTTATTAGATTACTCGATCAAAGCACCATCTGGCGATGAATAGTCTATTTTTTATTAAAGATGCATTATTGATCATGAATACATGATAGGATACTAAGATGTTTCGCATCCAGTGCTAATTTTGATGCTCCGAACGAATATATATTAATATGTATATGATTGAGTCGTGTGATTTAATAATAATATTATGCGCCATAATATCATAGAGCTACAATGCTAATCTGTATTTTACGAAACTTACTGTTACGTTTTCGTTTAAAAACTTGTTAACAGGTATATAGAGATTAGTTTATCGTGTATATTTGTTTTATCAAAACATCTAAATATACAGACGGGTTTTTGAAGTACCCCGCCCAAACTCAAAAGGCGACTAAAATGTTTCACTGTAAAATTAAGGCGTTGGCTTATACTGTATTTCAATGTATTTTATTTTTAAGTAAGCAAATCATATAAAATATTAAATAGAATCAATAATAAACAGTATAAAGGGAATAATGATTACTATGTAGTATTGTTGTTTTGACGATACGTTACCAAGGTTGTAAAACTATTACATTAAATTCGTTTCCAAATGATGCAAGTAAAACCTTGACATAAATAAAAACTTTGACGCAAGTAAAACACTTGACGCAAGTAAAATTGCTTTAAATATTAAATAAAAATAGAAGTCATTGAAACATCTATTTTTATATTTTTCTTACATATCGGAGTAGATAAAATCATTTCAAGATGAAAAATTTTATGCAAAAGCTTTTTATAATTATCATCAAATTACTATGTGTAAGTATCAAGATTGATTGATTAAGTTACTTTGCAATAATAATATCTTTATCTTATTGTAGTAAATTTTATTAAGGATAACTTTGAGCCTTTGCAAAGGAAAATTAATAGCAATAGATAATCAACATTCTAATAACAAACTTTTAAAAATAAATAAAATAAAAATAAAATATTGTATTTATTTTCTTTGTTTGATAAAAGTAACAAGTGTAATTAGCACTTTGGTAAAAGGTAACAATTGTGGACTTTAGTAAAAGTCACGTTTATTGTTTTAATGAGCAAGCAAGTAATGTTAGGACTGACATTGATCAAACTAGTGAGTGTTAACAATGATTAGTAATGTAATTTGCTTTAGTGAGTGAGCAAAGGTTTGGACTAAGGTTGGTTAACTGGTAGGTGTTAACAAAGTATCATCCAAAGGTTAATCGAAAATAATGGTAGTATTATTGTAATCATAGTGTAAGACTGTTAAACAAGCTGCTTAAGTTGTTTTGCAATTAAACCAAAGTGAGTTTACAATCAGCCAATAAATCTAAACAACTGAAATAAATAAATCACAAGAACCTCAAGAGTTCTGTAAAAGGCTATATTTATTTAATTACAATTATCTGGTACCATTAAATGTAAACTAATTAATTGACAACAAATTACTGAGAGTTGCTTGCAATTAACTAACAAGAGTAGCCCATAAATTAGGCCATAATTGTTAATTGGCCAAGATGATACAATGTCACCATTTAACAAGAATCAAAAATTGTAAAAAGTTATTATTTCAAAATATTATTATAATTTAACAAAGAAAACAAAATAAAGATAAAATAAAAAGATAAATAAAAAAGATAGTAATAAATTTATAGTGGAGATTAATTAGTCATTCATCAATTCTTTCTTTACTATAATTACTAGAATCTAATGTTAATAATTATTTAATTAATTAATATCATTAGTAATAATTAATGGATAGTAATTTCCCAATTGATTAATAATGAAATTTTTATTCACCTTTGTTGACATTTTGGAGAAAAGAGTTAAAATCAAGACTATTTAGTGAGCTATCATTACTTGTATAAATTTTTAAGCTTTTAAATTTAGCAATCTCTTCATCTAATATCCTACTTGTATGATATGCATCTGGATGTGAATTGTGTGCTTGTTGCAAAGCATTACCATTACCACCACTGTTTCCATTATCATTATTAAAATCAATTTCATGTTTTTTGATTTTAGAAAATTTTAAATGATCTTTTTATTAAACTATTATTGCTACTATTATTTTTTAAACTTTTATTTTTAAAAATTTCATTACACTTATTTATAGCAAATTTGAAAAGCTCTCCACTAGTTGGTCTTTTTGATGGATCCACATCCTAACACCTCTGCATCATTTGCATGTAATCATCAGGCATTCCAGGCAGTATTGGTAGACTTTATTCAATGACTTTTCATCAACTGGTCCACATAATCCTAAATCTGTAATATAACAATTACCTCCTGCCACAAGTATATTACCACTATGTAAATCACAATGGATTAAATCTTTCAATGTATCTGATGTAATGCAATGTATAAAGAATCAAAGATTTTAATTCTGTCTTTTAATGTTAAATTTAAATGATTTTTTTGTAAATAAACCCTTAAATTTCCCATTATCTGGGAATTTAGTTATACCAAAGCAAGAATTAATCATATGTGATTTAATTTCAAAATAACTTATTGCCTGAAAATAAATATGAAATCAATTAATATTTATTATATAATACAGTATTATTTTAAATGACAACAACCAACCTCATCAAAAAAGGCTTTTCCTGGATTACTTGAATTGTTTAAACTTTTTAATACTACTAGTTGTCCTTTACCTCCTAAATAACTAAATTCCTTTTTATTTTCGTCATAATCATCAATAGCTCCTCTTGTCCATGTAGCAGTATAAATTGAACTAAATCCACCTTCTGTTAATCTTGTTACTTTTTTAAATTGCTCAAAAGGCACCCATTCTAAAATATGGCCTGGCAAAGATGATTTCATTTGACATTTTTGAATAAAATCATCAGTTATGTTATTCCCAGATGTCCAAGCGGTGAAAAGACTCTGTAATTTTATACTAATACAACTTTCACAGAACCTATCAGAGTACCTTGTTAACTTACACTTGTTACATTCTTTTGGTTTGCCTTTTTTATCTCTTGCATTTTTCAATTCCAACTGATAAATAAACCTTTCTTTGCAAAATGTTTTTTCATTTTCAGAAAGCTCCTCCTTGTCTTTGACTAATAAAAAAAATAATCTTTTATATTTTCTTCATTAGAATTAACGTTAGCATTAGCACCATTAAGCATTTCATTATAAATTTTATATATAAATTCCTTTCTTTCACTTGATAATGATGATAATAGTTTAACATGTGACATTATATTTTTTCTCTGAATAATGTGTAACAAACAACTCTAAAATGATCGTCGGAAATAAAATTCAGCCGGAAAAAAACCGGCAAATTAGAGTGCTGCTACTGTCGTCATATGGGGTAGTGTGCGCCCTCTTCACATTAATCTTAAATCTTGAATTACTTAATGAATAACTTTGACATCAACAAAAATTCAATGCTTTAACAATAAATAATTTTTCTTTTTTTCTTTGTTTACTATTTTTATCCTTCAAAATTAAGACTTACAAGCACCTGCACCAAATCTGTCTCATAGGTCGTTCTACATACCAATATTGACCAACCTATGTGTGTTTCGAATTCGGATAATAAAAACAGCCCAAACACATTATTAATATTATTAATATTATTACGTATTACTATTACGCGTAGTTAACTTCAAAAGTCAAAAATTTGAAAAATATCAAATTTAATAATCCTATTTTATCATTATCATTATTGCTACTTGTATCAAACGTTTTTACTTGTACCGAGTGTTTTTACTTACGTCAAGGCTTTTACTTTAGTCAAATCGTCAAAATAACTCTGGCGAGAAACTACCTTTAGTCAATACTTTAGTTACGTCAATGACTAATACTAAAGCAAAAAATCCGTTGTGATCATGATCGACAAAAATTTTTTAATAATAACGAGCATTGGAGAACAGAGATGATGTTAACATTGAAGTAATGGCCGGATGGCAATTATTGACATACATAGTAAAAGATCTTTTAAAGCAGTTGAAAAGAGGAGTCGAAACATAAAAATTATGATAAAACTAAAAGTTTTTCATGACATTGACCTAATTGTAATGTATTGCTTTTTAATATAAGCATACGAGCAGATTTGAAACTCTTAATACCTGCTTTTGACCCATTCTGGTTTTTTCTCTGTTCTAAATTAATAAACAATTCCATTAATTAATTTTTGTAAATTTCTTCATGAGAACTTACGCTTTATCACCTTCAGATAAAAAATTAATTGCCTTGTGAACTTTACTATCTTCCATTTGTAATAAAATTAAAATTAACTCATAAATATTAAAATGAAATGTAGTATTGATTTGACGTGGCTGTAATTATGCCGTGTCTCATTAATATTAAAGAGGTCATTTTGACATCAGGAAAATTATGTATTATATTATATTAATAAAAACATGTGATTCTGAATTGAAGAGAAATTTATTCAAACTTTTAAATAATAAATAAATTAAAAATAATTATCTACCCATCAATAATTCTCCAACTTTAACCTTATGAACTACTTATTATTATTATTACCATTATCATTATAATTAATTAATAAAGAATCATATTTAAATTAATAGATTTAAATTTCCTTATTAAAATTATTAATATCAAGGTCACTTATTAAACTATCATTGCTTTTTGAGTTCAATTTAGCAAATTCATCCTTTAATATTCTGCTTGTATGAGGATGTGATTTGTGAATTTGTTGTGAATTATTACTACTAATACTACTAATATCATTATCATTATTGATAATTTCTTTTAGTTGAACATCAGCAAAATCCCAAAGCTCTCTAATAGTTGGTCTCTTGGCTGGATCCACATCCCAACACCTTTGCATCATTTGCACATAATCACCAGGCATTCCCAGTAATATTGGTGGACGTAAACCTTCACATATTCTTAATTGCAAATCAAAATCATAAGCCCTATCATCAAATGGTGGATGTCCTGCAAAGATTTCCCACATCAACATCCCAACACTATAAACATCAGTTTCTTTTGTGTGTTTTGTATTACTTTTGCCACTAAGTAGCTCAGGTGCAATATAAGATACAATTCCATAAATTTTATTTGATGATTCAACTGGTCCACATAATCCTAAATCTGTGATATAACAAACACCTCCTTGCATTAATATATTACCACTATGTAAATCACAATGAATTAAATTTTTTTCATGTATAAAATATAATGCATTACATAAATATCTAAAAATATCAATTCTATCTTTTAATCTTAAATTTGAATGATTTTTTTGTATATAATCACTTAAATTTCCCTCTGGTGCATAAGCAAGAACTATTGCATAATTTCCATTTTCTGGGAATTTAGTTATACCAAAACAAGGAACGACTAAGTTTGATTTAATTTTACAATAATTTAATGCCTGAAATTAATTATATAAATAAAATCAATTAGTTTAAAATAAAAAAATGGTTTATTTTAAATAAGAACAATTACCTCATCAAAAAAAGGTTTTTGTAGATTACTTGAATTATTTAATGATTTTAATACTACATCCTGAAATCCAAAATAATTAAACTCCTTTTTGTTTTCATCATAACCAACAATAGCTCCTTTTGTCCACCCAGCAGTATAAATATAACTAAATCCACCTTCTGTTAATTTTTCTATATCATAAAATTGCTCATAAGGTATCCATTCTATAATTTGAGTCGGAAGAGATGAAAGCTGTTGACATTTTTGAATAAAACTATCAATTGTCTCATTTCCAGATGTCCAAGTGCCGAAAAGGCTCTGTAAGTGTAGACTAATACACTTTTCACAATATTTATCAGAGTATCTTGTTGTTTTACAATTATTGCATTCTCTTGGTTCACCAAATTTATAAACTGCATTGTTTAATTCAAAACTATAAGTAAACCTTTGTTTACAATATTCCCTTTCATTTTCTAATAATACCTTATTTTTTTTGACTAATTGTAAAAAATAACTTTTATAATTTTCTCTGTTAGAAAGAGTTGGAAAAGCAGAACGAGCAATACCTTCCGTTTCATTATAAATTTTATGTGCTAATTCTCTTTTGTCTTGTGTTAATAACTTTTCGAAGGACATTTTAACTATTTAATGTTTAGTTTTTTAAAAAAACTAGCAGTTGCATCCGATTATTATTATATATTTACTACGTCCACATAATAATAATAATAACACATGTACAACATCCGAAAAAATAATAAATAATTTTTTTTTGAATGTGTATGTATATTAGGGTTTCTATTCGTAATAGTAATACAAATTCTTATCATTATTCGAATTATTCGTAATAGTAATACAAATTCTTATTCGAATTATTCGTAATAGTAATAGTAATAGTAATAATAATAGTAATAATAATGGTAATAATAATAGTAATAGATACAGTTGACCTTTAATTCGAATTAAAAAAATTCATTCGAATTAAAAAATTTATTCGAATTAAAAATTTAATTCGAATTAATATTAATATTAATATTAAAAATTTTATTCGAATTTAAAAGTTTATTCGAATTAAAAATTAATTCGCTTTATTCAAATTATTTGTTTTATTTGTTTTATTCATTATCGGAATCTTGGGTTTGTTCATTCATTTAT